GGAAAAGCTTGGGGCATTCATTCATGTGTGCACATTATGTTGTGAGTTTTTATAGTTTTGTAGTTTTGTTGCCATCTCAAAACACCCATCTTATCTGGCATATCTGAAACTCTGTTAGCCACAGGCTGAGTAGTAGAAAGCTGATTCTCACTGATGGCTATAATGACCACTGATGCTTAACACACTGGGACGCTTCTAACTGTGCTTGTCCTCCTCTCATGGCCGGCAAATCAATGCCAGCCTGTCCTCAAAATGTCAAGCGGCAGCTACCCCAAGGGTTTGAAAGATAAACCGGAGTGAGGTTATTTCCTGAATGGTTTTAGCAGAAAGGATTCTTCGTTCTTTTTTTTTTCTTTCTTTCTTTCTTTGTAACCCCTATGGCAGTCGCACGACAGCATTTCACCGTACACTGAGCGATGGGTTTGAGTTACTTCTCCGGAAAGTGTGCTGAAAGCTAGACAAAGTTCCTTGGAGACCAAATGGTGTGCTTGAATTTGCTTTTAGGGCTTTTTTTTTTTTAATATTAAAAAAAAAAATCTCCTCCACCAGTTTGTTTAGAAAACAAAGACGTTCTAATCTTTCTAATTAATTCTGCCTGTCGGTCACATCTGACCAGCTGATATCCTCCAATCTTTTCCAGGTCACTTGGCTTTGTCTCTAATTATTTATCAAGTCCCCCTCTGATAAAAAAGAAAATCCTGAGAAAGGCAGTTGTTATTCAGAGAAGGAACTGAGTCAAACAAAGAGACAACTATAGATGGACTTGGTAAGCACAGGCTGCTTGAGTTTTGTCCTTCTGGGACTATTTTTAAACTTCAGAGCACAAGTGAGCTCTAAAACACACATATGGTTGTTGTGTTACTCAAATCTCCTTAAGTGACTTCTGTCAAGGTCATTTTGAGCTGACCTACCACTATTTATGCACTGCTGTTCCAAAAATGATCTGCACCAACATTTTGAAATCAAAGAGAAACATAAAAATCTCTTCGGGTTCAGGTGCCACTTCTAGACACCAGCTATTGTTTAAAATATTGTTATTAAAAGGTCTGCAGAGAAGTAAATCGGAAAATTTCTGGGTTTTACTGTGGAACATGAAAAAGACTATTATTATTGTGTGAATGTGTTATGAAGCCTTCATATTGTGATCCATTTTTCTTCCGTACGTTTTTTTTTTTCATCTTTCTTGGTTCACATTTTTTTTGTGCTATTTTACCAAATCGTATATCAAAACAGCTCGTTCAGGAGAAGAGTGCCATGACTTTTAGTGTTGGTGAACTTTAGCTTTTTGAAATATTTAACCTTTTCTGCCATTTTTTTCTCTCAGAGAAAATGAATTCAGCTCATCCTTCACATTTTCAGATCTGTTTACAGCCTTTTACTGCTCCTTTCACATTTTGTTCTGCTTCAGTTTCTTTCAGCTTCCATGTGCAAATTTTACTTTCCACTGTTTTTCCAGCTGTTTTGTGATCCTTTTATATTATTTCTGCCAACTACATTTTTGTGTTTCTGCTAACTTGATCATTTCAGCTTGTTATGCTCCTTTCAGCTTATTTATACAGGATTCAACTTTTTTGCTATTTATTTTGCTGTTTTATGCTAATTTTTACTTTTCAACTAATTCCACCTTTTTGGCACGCATTTCAACTTTTGTCAGCCTAATTCAGTAAAAATGTACTCTCCAGTTCCTTCTGGTAATTTCAGCTTTTTTCTGCCTTTTTAGCTACTTTTCAGCTGTTCGTATGCTAGTTTCAACTTTTTTCAGATAATTTCCACTTCTTTCTGTTCATTTCTGTTTCTTTAAGCCTAATTGGGAAAACTTGTGCTCTTTCTGCTTTCTTCTGCTAATTTACGATTGTTCTACCTTTTCAGCTACCTTTTTAGCATAATTAGCTAATTTCAGCTGTTTTCTCATCAATTCAAGTTTTTCATGTTAATTTCTGCTACTTTCAGCCAAATTAACTTATTTATGCTAATTTCAGCTTGTTATGCTCCTTTCAGCATTTTTCTGCTCTTTCAGCTACTATTTAACTCTTTTTATGCTAATTTTAACTTTATCAGTTATTTGCACATATTTGAGCTCATTTCAGTTCTTTCTGCGTCCGTCTGGTAGTTTAAGCTTCTTTGTGCCTTTTCAACTACTTTTCAGCTTTTTTTTTGTTGTTGCTATTTTTTTTAGCTAACTTCTTCTTCTTTTTTAGCTCATTTCTGATTATTTAAACCTAATTCAGCAAATATGTGTTCTTTCTGCTTTCTTCTGCTAATTTAGGCTTGTTCTTTCATTTCAGCCACATTTCAGAATTTTTATTTTAGCTAATTTCAGTTGTTTTTCATTAAGTTCTTCAGCAATAACCATTCACACTGAATTTTTTGCATTTGCATTTATTTATTTGTAGTAGTAGTAGTAGTAGTATTAGTAGTAGTAGTAGTAGTAGTATTAGTAGTAGTAGTAGTACTAGTAGTAGTAGTAGTAGTAGTAGTAGTAGTATAGTCGTCAAATTACCATCCTAAATTAGAGTTCTCTGGTTTTTGGAGTTCCCTCTCCAGGATTTTTTGGATATTTCAACTTGATTTAAAACTATGAATCATCTCAAGAACTTGTCATCAAGTTGCTGATGACCCATCATATTCAACCAGGTGTGTAGAAGCAGGAAATCCTGGCTTAATGAGCAACTTTCCTCAACTGGACAACTACAAAATCACTACAAAGAAAGTCTATTTTCAGATGCACCACTTCACTTGAGTAACTGTGAACACAAGCGGTTTTGAACTCTAGCCAGGTAGCTGATTGCAACTGAGTGCTGGCACACCGAGAAATGATTTGGCACTAGAGGACGCATGTCAGTCAGCTGTCTATGTTCGGCAGCTTGGGCAGTGGTAGATGCAACACTGGCAGAGTTACGGTGGTCCAGACTTGGGATGAGCGAGTCTGTTTCAGCCATCAGCACTAAAGCTATAGCTCACGACAAGAGTACACTGGCACTACTTCATGTCTGGTTTAATCTGGCAAGGCACTTGTTACAAATCTGGCTTAGAAATTTCTGTCGGATTTAGGGCACTGGTAAGCCAAATCATTATGGCTAAAAATCTATTTATGGAACGAATATTATGTTCAGCCAGCAAGCTAAGCCTTATTTAGCCATTATGTCTTTGCATTTCTTAGTGATGTAAACAGCTTGTTATACACCAAAAAATGCATCATATCAAAGCTTAATTGGCAGCAGATGACATTCTATGAACTTTATTTTCTTCTTGATTGAGCTCAGATGCTGTGAATAAACTCAGGAGAGAAAAAAATACTTTTCAGACAGCTTTGACGTTTATTTACTTACCTGCCATCTGTCGAATTTTTCTAAAAAGCAGATCATATGCCAAATAAACCCACCAATTGTATCCCGATTCAAGCCTTTTATAAAGTGAAAAATGATATTTAGGTGTTATTATGATAGTGCCAAAAACCCATCTTCCCAAGCCCTTCACTGTTGGAATGCTAATTTTACAGTCAAGATTTAGGAACAATGTAATTGATTGGTGTAAAAGAGTGATTAGTACTGGAGAAAGGAAATCAATATGACAGGAAGCTGGAGTTAAACAGCAGCTCGTGCAGACATCAGTTAATGTTAGATGTAAATACATGCATTGGGGCATCCTCTGAAATTATTTGCTTTATAGAGTTAGGTGCCCCAGTTGTCATGGTGATCTTAAACCCTTTGTTTTAGTTGCAGTTTTCCTTGCAGCAGAAGGAGTTGTCTATTCCTGTGTGAGCATCACCGCACATGCCTTTTATCCTCACCTTCACAGCTCCAAGCAATTAAAAAAGAATTACAACAATAAGACATCTGGACCATCCAAAGAACCCTGCTGTTTCACTATAAGACCAGTGCAGAGGAGCATTAATTTGATTTTTTTATATATTTTTTTATATGATGGGAACAAGAATTAAAAATGAAGTTTTATGGGAAACTAATACTTGTCACTTGTTTTACTATTAAGCAATAACATGAGGGTTGATCAAATATAAGCACAATGCTATACCAAATTAACCAATTAACTTAGTCTTATGTAATAAATTATGCTTTTATTAATTGAAAACCCCTTGACACAAATTTACAAACTGTAGACAAGACACGGCTGCAGCCCTGTCTCCATCGAGGTGAAGCAACGCCACGATAAACAGGTCAGATAAGAGACACAAGTCAATATCCTGCAGACATCAAAGAGCCTGCTCTATTTCAACACCCCTACTATTCCTAAAACACCGTTTCTGCTCCAAGCATTTATTTATGAGTTGACCCCTGTGAGTGAAGGCTTGCTTGACCCCACCCGGAGCTGATGCGAGCAGTAAGCACCACCTGAGCTGCATCTTTCTGCTCCTGCTGGGGATGCTTGGCTGTAATTAGTGTGCAGTTGTAGCAAAATTGTAAGTTAGCACCAAGTTTTAAAAGATGTTGGTTAAATTATAAAAGACGTGGCTGTTATTACTGTGGGGAGTATCTTCTACAATAAAATGTGCATAGGAGTATTTTAACATGTTTGTGACCTTATTTATAAGCAAGGCTGTTTGTAATATATCATGAATTTTAATATTTTGCTTTTCCTCACATTTTATTTTTATTTTTTTTTAACTGTGGGACTGTGTTTTGTATATAGCTCGCACAGTCATCACCGTCCTGTCAGATCCACAGAATAAATGTGGTTGCTGTAGAAAACAACAGCAGCTAAACAAGATCCTGTTTTGGTTGCAGAGATAAAGCTGCATCCTCCTCCATGTGTAACTCATGTGTTCGTCTGACAGCAGCATCACTTCCTCTTATTGTTCCATCTGAGCGCAAAGATGGATCTAACAAAACAAACTCCACTTCCTCTCAGCCTTGCTACCACAGCAGGGCGGTGAGATGTCGCTTTAACTTGAGAGAGAAAAATCAAACTTTATTGCCATGGAGTCTGACAAGAAGAGCTCAGCATCTTGACGAACATAAGCCCACAGTTCTGCGTGTACTCACCCTGCTTTGTGCTGGGATGCTCGGTGTTTTCTGCAGCTGTGCACAGGCACCAGAGGAGCAGAGGCAGGGTTAAAGAGCCGGAGTTCCTCCCCCGACTCCAGGTTCTCATCGTGGCCGGGCTCGGTGCGGTGGAACCCGGGCAAAGTGTGCGCGCAGACCGCGGCGGCTCAGCGCGCCTCCACCAGACACCCCCACCCCAGCAGCTTGGCAGGACGGACTCAAACACTTCACAGTGAATTAAAGATACAATTTTAAAATAAATAAATACACGACTCCAACGATGAGCAGCAGCAGGCTGTCAGAAAGTTTCCCTTCCACGAAGCAACGTTAAGGCTGTGGAGACGCACATCTGGATTCCTGCGTGGATGTGTCCGTTGCCTTAGAAAGAGACATAAAACACCTGGAGGAGAGGATGTTGGAGAGTAGAATGAAGTGAAGCAGCCGACTTGGTGTTCCCTCCCCAGAACCGGGAGCAGCAACACATCGCCATGTGCGTTTTGGACTCTGCAGGGTCCTAAAGGTGGTGCGTCTTTAACAACTGGCTGCCTGTCAAATAATTCCCTCTCAGGCACTGCAGCTGGAGGGTGATGAGTAAGGATTTGAACTAGTATTTCCTTTTTTGGGAGATAATGTTTTTGGACTCATCTGTGTGTTCCTGTGTTTGTCTGTTAGCAAAATATCTCAGAAGCTCTTGGGGAGATGTTAGTGAAACTTTCCGAAAGCGATCAATGGACGCACATCTACAACTCGTTGACTTGTCGTGGACCTGCTTTTGAAAATGCAGCTGGTTTAACCGTCAAGGTGCATTTATTATGTAAAAGTTCAACTGAGACACACCTTTACTATAAATTCGAACAAACAAATAATTGTTTTTAGGTGTTTATCTTGTTAGATTTTAAAGAAATGGACGGACTCGCCCTCTGCGCGTTCATGTTTCCAAGTATCTGCTTTTGAAAATGCAGCTGATTTAACCACCAAAATGCATTTATTAAGCAAAAGTTAGACTGAGACACTTTTACTATGATTTTGAGCAAACAAGTAGTTGTTTTTAAGAGTTAATCTTGTTATATTCTTATTAAAGTCCTCCCTTGCCATTTGGCAGCCCATCGATTTTTGGCACAACACCGGCCCACGTTTCCGGGTTGTCAGTGGTGACGCGAAACAAACGCGACGCGTCAATAGATGCGACGTATATGGTGAAGCAACATATTTATGGATTTTCCACTTTATCAGACATATTTGGACTGATGCGACTTATAGGGCGGTGCGACGTGTATGGCGGAAAATATGGCAGCTAAGCTTGATCTTACATGCACATCCAGATCCATTTTGCATCATAGTACTCAACATGAACACACAACTACAAACTGAGTATCAAGAAAAAATATCCAGCTAAAATCTCTATTACTGGCGTGAGTTTTTTGTGTCTATGGGCCTGTATAGTTGGAAACCAATCAAACTGTCATTTTTAATGACAATATAATTTTAGTTAAAAACTTGAAAGTTATTGGCAATATGCATTCCTTCAAGCAATCATAGGCCTTTTATTTATTTACGATGTTACAAATGATATGTTGGAGGACTCCTTATTTCAGCTGTTCCCTCTTCAGGGGTCGCCACAGCGAGTCATCCTCCTCCATCTCACTCAAGAATATGCCTAAATAATATAATACACATAGCTTCTACCCCTCCCTGGGCTGCTTCCTTACTGTGGTGGAGGGGTTTGAGTGTCCCAATGACCCTAGGAGCTATGCTGTCAGGGGCTTTACGCCCCTAGTAGGGTCACCCATGGCAGACAGGTCCTAGGTGAGGGACCAGACAAAGTGCAGCCAAAAAACCCAGATGATGAGAAAAATAAACGGACCTAATGTTCTCTTGCCCAGACATGGGTCACCGGGGCCCCACTCTGGAGCCAGGCCTGGAGGTGAGGCACGCGGGCGAGCGCCTGGTGGCCAGGCTTTTACCCATGGAGCTCGGCCGGGCACAGCCCGAAGAGGAGACATGGGTCCCCCTTCCCATGGGCTCACCACCTGTGGGAGGGGCCAAAGGGGTTGGGTGCCATGCGGGATGGGTGGTAGCCGAGGGCAGAGACCCTGGCGGTCTGATCCTCGGCTACAGAAGCACGAATGAGGGAAAAATGGAGCGTGAGATCGATAGGCGGATAGGTGCAGCGTCAGCAGTGAAGCAGGCGCTGTACAGGTCGTGGTGAAGAGAGAGCTGAGTCAAAAGGCGAAGCTCTCAATTTACCGATCGATCTACGTTCCCACCCTCATCTATGGTCACGAGCTTTGGGTTGTGACCGAAAGAATGGGATCTCGGATACAAGCGGCCGAAATGAGTTTTCTCCGCAGGGTGTCTGGGCTCTCCCTTATTAGAGATAGGGTGAGAAGCTCGATCATCCGGGAGAGACTCAGAGTAGAGCCGCTGCTTCTCCACGTCGAGAGGAGCCAGTTGAGGTGGCTTGGGCATCTGTTTAGGATGCCTTCTGGATGCCTCCCTGGTGAGATGTTCCGGACACGTCCCACCGGAAGGAGGCCCAGAGGAAGACCCAGGACACGCTGGAGGGACTATGTTTTTCGGCTGGCCTGGGAACACCTCGGGATTCCCCCGGATGAGCTGGCCCAAGTGGCTGGGGAGAGGGAAGTCTGGGCCTCCCTACTTAGGCTGCTACCCCCGCGACCGACCCCGGATAAGCGGAAGAAAATGGATGGATGGACATAGCTTCTAATGATATCCCCCCCTTCATATTTTTAGCGTGCTCTTTTTTATTTTAAACTTTAGGATGTGTGCCTTTAGGACACAAACAATAAGGTTGCCCAAATTTTTCTGAGAAACAACAGCCTTGTGCACGTTAATAAGTGAAATAAATTAGAACAGCTTTGACAATGGCAGGATTTATAGCACTGTCTCTAAAACGTTATATAAAACACCTGTTGATAATAATAATGCAATATGATATTTGGATATATATATATATTTATATATATATGTAAATAATATTAAATGTAAGCTAGTGCTCTGAATAAACCTCACTTTATATCTATTTGTATATCCAGACACAAAAACTTTACACAGGCTCCATCTGTAGCTTGTGCTCCCCACCTGCTCTGCTGCAGCCTCATGTTTTTGTAGTGTGTATGTGCTGCAGGCAAAATATATATATATATAAAATAAAGAAGTCACAGATGCATCAGCACAGCTTTCACTTTACCCCATAACCTCACAGAGGCTACAAACCATGAAAAGAAAAAAACGGCACCGACTTGCGTCTGAGTTGTGAGTTTAAAACCTCACGGTGCGCCTGCACATTTCCATTTCCTGTCTGAGGACATTTATTACACCCCGCTCCCTGTTACTCACTTGTAACTGTTGAGCTGATTATTGCCTTGAAAGGCTCCTCTGGCTTTCTGTGTCTTTTGCTCACCTTGAGATTCTTACATGCTCGAGTCATAGACGCTGGATTTAGGCGAGGAGGTTGTATCATGTAGAGCCACGGTTCCAAAGAGAGGACTGCTCAGATAAGATTTGTCCCAAACAAGTGGCGAATGATTAACAAAGTGGCTCTGTGTGGATGTGCACAGGTGCACTCTGTTAGTTTTAAAAGCCACCGAGGTAACCTGAGGGCAGTTGAGTCAGTGGAGGGGCCTGTGCTTACATGTGACATGCAGACACGGTTCCTCAGAGAGAGGAAGGCTGAGTGACAACAGCCCGTCTCCTCGTGTGCAACTCCTGTCAGTCAGTGCTCATCATCTGAAGCCTTCCTACACAGCAGCAGAACACTTCACCACTGTTGGGCGGTCTCCTCCGTAGCTCACACAGGACACAAATCAGCAGATATCAATACTTTTTATTACACCTAGGAGCCAAAAATCAATCAGCATGAAATGTGGCGGCAAATAAACTCAAGCCTTTATTAATCATTCAGCTTTCCATTTTAAATGCTGCGTGTGTTTGCAGTCAACACACAACACCACACTTCAGATGGACTGGGTGTGTGTTTTCTGCTCACGCTCATCCCCTGCTCTTTCCTAATCCCAGCGGGCTCTGGTTAAATGCCACAGAGTTGTCAGTCACCTTCACAGAGCCTATATGGTCTTTGGTCCCAGGCTGGGCTCGGGACTCTCCTCTCGTGATGAAGTGTCATCTCTGCTTTGGAGCTCCGTGACAAAGATCTCTTTCAGAGGCGCTGGCGGTCTCTTGAGTTCGATTAGCTTGAAGGTCCGTTCTTCCAGATTGGAGGCTCCAGAAGCCTTGGAGCAGACGTGAAGCAAATGATGAAATGTCTTTTGTTTTTTGTGTGTGTGGAGAACACTGTTGATGGAGGGGGGGTTGCTGTAACTCGGTGGGCAGCGCAGCGCTCTTGTACTGTTGATGCTGCAGGTTTGAGACCAGGTGGTGTCAGGAAGCACATCCGTCGTTGCCTGCAACCTGCGGCTCTGGGGCCACACGTGGCTCTTGGGTCCCTCTGCAGCGGCTCCATCAAGCTTTGACAACAACTAACAGAAAACTGAATTTCATTCATGGTTATACAAACAACAAAACTGGAGAGTTTTAACAGTTTTCCTGTAATTTCTTTCACAACAATGTGAATATTCACTTTAACTTGATGCTTTACTTTTTCAAAGGATACTTCATTTTTTTCCACCTTTAAAATATTACATATTAACTTTTCAAAAATTTAGTTTAAACTTTTTTTTTTCATTCTTTCCATGGATCTGGTATTTTCTGTTGTTTTAATGTATAGATATAAATAATTTTTTATGTCATGTCGGGCCTACTGGTCGGGACAGCCCTCTCCAACAAACTTGAAGTGGTTCATGGTAGAGGTGCACCGATAAATCGTCCGGCTGATTTATTGGCCCCGATTTCCTTAATTTTGAGAAATCGGACGATACTTGTATGAGAAACTGATTTTACCGATTTGTTTTTTAGTTTTAACAATTGTCTAAACTTGATTTATATTTCAGAGCACTACCTCATGGCCAGTTAAAGCAAGTTTGTATTGTTTCTAAGATTTTGTTCACAGGTATGTTTTTCAATAAAATAATATTGGCAAATTGAAAGGTACATTGTGACCTATCTATCTATCTATCTATCTATCTATCTATCTATCTATCTATCTATCA